AAACCCCCAAAAAAAAGGGGGGGGGGCCCCAGGGGGGGGGGGCCGGGGAAAAAACCCCCCCGGGGGGGGCCCCCCCGGAACCCCCGCGCGGGGCCGGGGGGGGGAAACCCCGGCCGCGGGGGGGGGGGGGGGGGGGGGGGGGGTACAGGAAAATTCCTTTTAAACCTTTTCCACTTTCTACCGTTCCGAGCAGAGTCGTTTATAACGCAATCACCACCAGTAAACACTTTTTGCAACACAGGGTGCTGATTTGACATTGCTCGTGTTGATCTATTCCCGTGAAGACGCAACGTGCAAGTGAGTACGGGCGTCGGAGCTCTTTGCCCGACCTCAAAAACCCTCCGGCCACGAGAGGAGGGACGTCTTCCTGATTCCTCTACCGTGCCGCTAGCGCCGCTGCGGCGGTCGCTGGCGGTGCTACTCGCCCGGCGCCCCCGCCCCCGGGACTATCCACCCTCTGCCGCCCAGGGGATGTCTCGAAGTAGGCGACGACGGGCTGGTCAAGGGTTCCAATTCCAACTCCGACGAGAAGCTATGTTTCTTCTTTTCGCCGGTGCGGTACCTCGTCCAAATGCTCAGAGCCAACCCCCCATACACACAGAAGACCCCAACCCACTGCCGCAAGGCTAGGCGGTGGCCGTAAATGTAAACGGAGACGAGGACGCTGTCGGGCGAGGCGTTTGTGCCAGTGTCCGATATACGTGTCGCGCGGCAGTGACAAACCAGGCACCAGGAGCACGGAGGGTGGTGGGGGTGGGAGCGGGCGAGTCTAGAGGTATAGGTTCGGTCTCATGCTGAGGGGGAGGGGGCGACACAAGCAACAGCACAACGGCGGGCTCGACGTTGCGAGAGCCTCGGTTCCTCCCGCCAAAAAATCGGTCATCCGTTTCGTAAAAACTCGCAAGAAAACAAAAACATTCAAAGGGTATGTCATGCTCGGGAAAAAACCGGGTCGATTGTCATGCTCAAACACGCGGACCCCAATACCACGAGAATCGCACAGACAGGAACTCTGCGTGCACAAGGCGATAAGAAAACGAAGTGGTAGGCAACAAGGGAACATGGGATGGAACAGAATAGAAACACACCTGAAGAACTTTCGGGAGACGGTGACGGTCACGTTCACCAACGATCCGAACTCCTTGATGATGAAGAACACAAACAGCTGGCCCGTCCCCGCGCACAGGCAGAACGCCGCAACGTTCTTGATCACCTGCCGCACGGGAAGGTGATTCTGCGATTGAGTTGCGCTCGTACACACGCGACAGACCGCCACTTTCCAGCAAGCAGTCTGGACGGGAGCAAACACATGCCAAGATCCACCGCCACAGCACAAGCACGGCAAAAATCAAGAGTGATGACAGTTCCCGCTCGATCCCTTTCCCGGAGCATCATCCCTACATCACACAAATCATGTTACCCTTTACCCCCATTCTAGCCCTGAACCCCTCTACGACTACTTCAAGGGGGCTCCCGGAGTGCACGCACGCATGATCGGCTACCCCCCCCCAGCCCCCCCCCTCCCGCTTGTATTTGGTCTAACCGGAATTTGGGTTGGGTGGACAACCGTAGAGTAGGACACAGTCGGCTGTAGCAAAGCCTACTTCAAGCATAAAATAACTTGCATGGGCTTTAGTATCGCAGTCTGAAACCCATGTGTTTCGGATGTGTATGCGTTCAAGTATAGCCATACTAAATCCTATACAATAGACCCCTGCCCCCCCCCCCCATGTCTCGATCTTCTTGGCCTGATAGAGGTTTGGAGTGCCACCCTCTCCAGGAGCCAGCCCCCTAAGTAACCCCTCCGGCACAGCAGCCCTTATCCTATCTACGCGTACGTACCTCCGGAAAAGTAGCCATGAAATAAAGCGCCTTGGCGAGCTCGCTCTCAGGGCCGAAAACGGCCCAGCCTGCGCCCAGGTACACGGCGTGGAACGTGAGAATCCAGAAGTTGATGGCGAGCATCATGTAGGACCCGGGCGCGTTGAAGCGCGCGTTGATCCGGTCTTGCTCGGCATTCGTCACCCCGTCGAGCAAAAGGTTGACCGTGACCTGGACACATGTGGGAACCTTGTTCAGTAGACGCCGTGAGGCATGTTTTCAACCTCATGTGGAAATCAGATGCAAGCCATGAACCGTCAGGTATTGGGCTGGGGGGGGGGGGAGAGTTGTCTAATTAATTGGCGGGTTTCCAACATGTGTTTAACATAAGTTCGAGAAGCGGGGTCACGATCTTTTGTCCCTCTCTCCAAGTAGAAGTGCTGGTATCCTCACTGTTTGCTGACAGTGCCGTATGCGGTTGGCGCGCTAGCCTCGGCCGTTGCTAAACAGTGAGCTTAGTTAGTATATTGTCAAAGATTCTGCGAGTATGCCAAGAGTTGTTTGATGCCTCGCATTCGCCGTCTAGAACTGACGGCCGGCTAGGGCACGTTCTGAAGACAGAGACGAAACAAGATTTCTCGGGAAAGCCTGAGGACGCGGCTTGCACCACGAGCATCACTTGGCTGATACTTAGCCTCGTGTTGTGGATGGGTTCCTTCTTACAGCTTCTTTGTGGCGCACATGGCCCATCGTTTTTCCTCCTTTGGCGGCAGACGGCATCGATTCTGCCGTATTTTGGTTTTGATGAAACTCGGATTTGTATCTGACTCCACACCACAACCTGGGAAAGAATCCTAGTCTGCCCTCCTGGGCGTAATTTTCAAAACAACAAAAAGCGTCCGCGTGCGAGCGGAGAGGGAAAAACAAACTTTCTCCCACAGGAAACACAGGAAAGAAGAGGCGCTTTTGCGTAGGTGCACTGCTGTGTGGTGCGTTCACGTGGATTCCCATGAGATAGCGCTGTGTATGTATACTGCTGTACCACTTGATTCAATATAATGTACAACATTTTCGTTTCATTTTGTACGTGAAAAAATACGACAACTTCAATCCTCGACAATCCAACCCGATTCCCCCCCGCCCCCCCCTCCCTCACCAGCGCAAGCCCGATGGCATTGTTTTTCCCGCCGGCTTCATCCCCTCCCCCCTCCTCGCCCAACGCGTCCTCCTTAAACGCCCCCGGTTTTAGCGAGAACAAAGCTACCCCAGCCGTGATAAGCCCGACGGCGAGGTATTCAGCGCGCGTGTGCCTCCGTCCAAGCAACACCACTCCCACCAGCATCACCGGCACCAGCTTGCAGCTCTTAGCGAGGAGAAGCAGCGGGTAGCTGATGTACGAGAGAGACCAATCTATGTGGGTGTTTTCCCCCATGTGTTCCGCATGTGCGTGTGTGTGCCACGGAAGAGAACGCCGCCGGACGAAACGACGTCATTGCAGAGGGCGGCGGCGGCGGGGGGGGGGGGGGGGGGGGGGGGGGGGGGTTTTTAAACCAAAATAACAGGAAAAAAAAACCCCCCACTCAGGGGGGAAAGGGTTTTTTTTTAAACCCGGGGGGCTAGGGGGGCGGGGAAAAAGGGGCGTTTGCCGGTTTCGGCCCAAAAACCCCCCAAAAAAAGGGGGGGTCTGAAAAGCCCCCCCCCCCCGGGGAACCCTTTTTCCCAAATTTAAAATTTGGGGGGGAAAAACACCGGGGGGAAAAAAAATGTAAAAAACCCCCGGGGGAAAAAGGGGGGGGGGGCCCCCAAAAATTTGCCCCGGGGGGGGCCCCCCCAAAAAAAAAACCCTACCTGCG